TATATATATATATATATATATATATATATACACGTATATATATATATTTTTTCATGAGTGAATTTTTTTGTGAGAGTTTAAAGTTTTCTTCAGGCTAAATGATTGACCACAAACATCACAAGAAAACGGTTTGTCTCCTGTGTGTTTTCTTGTATGTGAGCGTAAAGTTCCTTTTTGCCTAAATTGTTGTCCACAAAAATCACAAGGGAATGGTTTGTCTCCTGTATGGATTCTTATGTGTGAGTGTAAAGTTCCTTTTTGCCTAAATTGTTGTCCACAAAAGTCGCAAGAAAATGGTTTGTCTCCTGTGTGAATTCTCATGTGGGAGCGCAAGGTTAGTTTAAATGTAAATTTTTGTCCACAAATCTCACAAGGAAATGGTTTGTCTCCTGTGTGGATTCTCATGTGTGGGCCTAAATGTGACATTTGGCCAAAACGTTTTCCACAAATCTCACAAGGAAATGGTTTGTCGCCTGTGTGGATTCTCACGTGGGAGTTTAAATGTGACGTTTGCTTAAATCTTTGTCCACAAACGTCACAAGGATACGGTTTGTCTCCTGTGTGTTTTTTCATGTGGGAGTCTACTAGTGACTTTCGGCTAAATCTTTGTCCACAAAGATCACAAGAAAATGGTTTGTCTCCTGTGTGGATTTTTGTGTGGTTGTTTAAGGCTGTCTTATCACTAAAATTTTGTCCACAAAAATCACAGAGAAAAGGTTTTTCTCCTGTGTGAATTCTCATGTGTCTCTGTAGAGATGAATTCTGGTTAAATCTATGTCCACAAAGATCACAAGTAAACTGTTTGTCTCCTGTGTGGATTCTTATGTGCAAGTTTAAGTTAGCCCTAAAGCGAAATCGTTGTCCACAAAGCTGACAAGGAAAGGGTTTTTCTCCTGTGTGGACTCTCATGTGTCTGTTTAGATCACTTTTGCTTGTAAATCTTTTATTACAGTCATCACATTTAAATGGTTTTGGTTCTGCCTGGACTTTCCTGTGTGACTCTACAGTTTTCTTCACTCCTACACTTCTCATTTTAACCAAACAGCTTGAAGACTTTACACTTGGATGACATGTCATGTGTCTTTGAAGAGACTGGTTGTTGACATACAGCTTACCACACTCAGAGCAGCTTAAAGATTTGTTGACAGTGTTTACACCTGACTCAGGAGACCTGCTCTCCTCCCACTCTTTGTTACTGTCTTTAGTTTTAGGACCAGAGTCTGACAAGTCCTTCATCTGAGAGTCAGGATAGTTCACATCCTCGTCATTTTCACAATCCTCACTGAGTTCAGTCTCTGAAGAGCTGAAATCATCTATGTGAGTATTTAGATCTGAGTTGCTGGTAGTTTCTGCTCCTCTGCAGTCCTCTCCATCAGCTGCTGTTTCCATCTGATCAGCTGAGCTGCTGGTTGGAAGATCTCTGTATTCCACTTGGTGCTGATGAAGCTGTGAGAACTGAGGCTTCTCTTCATCATCTTCATTTTTCAAATGAACTAAAGTGACTGAAAATCTGGTGACTTCAATTTCCTCCTTCACATTGAGTCGGTCTCTCTCCAAACTGGACCAAGGTTCCTCCTCTTCCTCTTTTATGTTGAGGGGCTCAGAATCCTGCTGGTCCACACTAGGCCTACATTCTTCAGGAGTTGCTTCTTTAATCGGCATCATTTGTTCAACATGGGCAGGGACCACTGAAACACATGTACATTAAGGACAAAGTTACCTTTAAATTCACAAACATCACTCTGGATTTTATGTTTTTTACAGAAACTTGGCTTCATGATGGTGGGTTGTCTCCATTTTCTGAATATCACCCTCCTGACTGCGCTTTCTTTAGCTCTCCTCAGACCACCGGTGAAGGAGGTGGATTGGCTTCCGTTTTTAAATCCAGTTTTAACTGACTGCTGATCCCCACTCATTTCTACCAGAGTTTTGAGCTTCAGATGGTGGAGATAAACTTCTCTCCTCTTTTACTCTGCACCACAATCTACCAGCCACCTAAACACAGCACAGATTTTATTAAAGATTTTATTGGTTTTATGACGGGACTTATGTTACGATATGATCGTCTTTTGATAATTGGTGATTTTAACATACATGTCTGCTGTGAGGCTGGGCCTCTGGTCAGAGATTTTCTGAACATTATTGACTTTTTTTAATCTCACGCAGTCCGTCACAGGTACAGCTCATGAAAAAGGAAACACACTGTGCTTGTGCTGTCTTAAAGAATAAATGTGTCAACTGTGGAAATCTGTGGAGCTATTTTAGCAGATCAACTACTGGTTCTGTTCACTGCGGTGGTCTCTGGTAGGAAGGAATGCGCTGGATCATCTGTGCATTCTGCACATGCAATTAATTTAAACACTGTGCTGCGCTTCTCCACCGGCTTTAATGACCCTGTCACCTGCAACCCTCAGTTCTGCTCTGTGTCCAATGTGGACAAGTTTACTGATCTTTTTAGTTCTACGTGCACTGACATTCTGAACTCTGTTGCTCCTCTGAAAATCAAAAAGAGGAAGTCACGTCAGCTGTGGCTGAGTGAATCCTCCCGCACGCTCAGACGCCAGTGCAGACGAGCTGATAGGAAATGGATTAAGGACTAGGGGTGCAGAAAAAAAAATCCTTTTTTCGATTAATCTAGATTCTTAGTCCTGGTGATTCTGAATAGTTTCTAAAGGTCCATAAATCGATTTTAAAATGCATTTAAGTTTTATATTTTTTCCGCTCCTATTCCCCGTTCGGCCGCTGTAGAATTGGGCCGTGTAGGCCACCGTACAGCAAGCTAGTTAGCCAGCTCCCTTTATCTGAATGGAGCCTGCTAGCATGGAGAAGGGAGACAGCATGATTCAACCCGCTGCTTCGTCACTAAAAATCATTTCAGATCCTACAATGTTCCGGGGGAATACAGAGCTTAACAAGAGCACAGTTGTTTATAAGAAGTGTAAAATAAAATTGCGGTACAGTATTTTGTAAATATGACAAAATTCACAGAAGATGAAAGTGAAGCAGCTGACCAACGAACTCTGCAACAAACTTCCAGGCTTCTCCCAAAGGCTGTTAAGATTTCCCTCTCCATCTCCTGCTATATAGGATATATATAGGATATATGAGCAGACAGCTCAGTGGAAGGTGAGGGGTTCAGGTTTATTTTTAATACGATGGACCCAATGTACGTTATTCCTTCATGTAGCTTTTTTTTGCGATAAAGCAACACCACAACTCCACCATGAAACAACAAATGGGAGAAGCTCTGATGCAGCTGCAGCTCAAAGGTAACTGTTTTTTCTCATATTATACTAAAACTTATAGACAACTTATACAACAAACTTAATGTAATTTGTATTTTTAACAGGTTGAAGAGGACAGATGAGACACATCTCCTGGAGCCAGTTCTAAATAATACAGTTTATGCTTTATAAATTATAGTTCAGAAGAGATTTTGTGCAAACTTGCACAGGTTTTGAAATTTTGTTAAAGATTTACTAAATATGAATCAATATGGTGTTGGATTTAATATTTTATACCTTTTTATAATTCCTATCAAGCACT